TTTATAAATCGTGGAAGTTCCGAAATTTTTGTTCATAATCTTCTTAGATATTCAATTACAAGAATATAATATAGTGGATCAGACGATTATAAATTTATAAGTAACGATGTTCTACCCTCTTAAACTTGTTATTTTATGGTTTGTAAATATTCAAAACACTGTTGAATTGTGGATTTTATTTAGCACTGCAATATAAGAATTCAATTAAGTGGTGCATCCATATTTTACGATATTGTGGGTTTTTGGAAAATCTGATAAAAAAATGTAGTTTTCATGGATTCAGACATATGGGGTGGAAGATTTTGACATTGAAGGCCCAAATGAAGACAAGAAGAATGGGAAATTAGGGATTGGTCTCAACTTTGGGACTATGCTTGTCTGAAGTTGAAAATGCCATCAAATGTGCCCATTTGTATATTTGTTTTTTAAAATGGGCATACATTATTTTATTTAACACTCCAACATAATGTTCCACCATGAAGGAGACATCTCCCATTAGCTATCCCTTTCTGATTATTCTTGTGTTTTCATACTTCTTTGTTAGGCACAAATAATTGAAAAGAAGTATAATTTTGAGAAAAAATTATAACAAAAAGAATCACTAAACAGGCAAGAATTGTAGACGCAGCATCCTAATACTAATGATGTTGTCTTTCACTTCGTCTAGAAAACCTCGTGTCTCATGGCACCAAGTAAATATAAGTATATAAATGGGTATATTGCTCTGTTTATCTAACTCATGCAAATTGCAATATATTGGGTATTGCGTGATTGATCATGATTTGATATTATAAAATCATGAAGGAGAACACCAATAAACTGTGAGGTATCATTTGTGAATTGCTGTTCTCGGTTATACTTTAATTTACAATATCCCACATATAATATCAACTTTGAACACTCAATTTTCACTAATTTTTTTTTTCACTATTGTTTTCTTAGATAAATTGTTTTTCTTAGTTTTATCTGTTATTTATAGGTTAATTATGGTTGAAATTAAACCACTTGAAATTTACATTTTGATTGTACCACATATGTCGAGATTTGAAAAGCATGTGTCCATGTTTTTTTGAATTTTCTAAAAGTTTGGCTATTTTTATTGTGAACCCAAGTCATGAGTAAATTTTCCCCAAATAGATTCCTAAAGGCGAAAGTTTTTTCATAATGGTAGATATCCGGAAAGTACAAATGTACAATTACGGCTGTGTGCATAATCATAATGGTTAACTAGATTTTCATTAATTGATTTTAACATATAATTTTTTATTTTTTTTATGGTGTTCAGTGAAAATGTATGGCTATTTGGGTTTATTTTCGGGTTTAGTTCAGATTCGGCTTGGTATGTTTGGTGTTAGTAATTATTAGTCGAATTCAAGTCGAAGTAAGTATAGTTTGGTTTGATTTGGTTTAAATTTAAAGGAAAAAAAAACATTTCAATAATATAAAACCAAATTCCTGAAATAAAATTATGTAAATTTAATTATTCAACTTTCAAACTAAATAAAGAAACCATG